TGTGGAAAAATTGGAAAACGTCCAGCGGAGGACAACAAAGATGATTACAGGACTGGAACACATGACTTATGAGGAGAGGCTGAGGGAACTAAGATTGTTTAGTCTGCGGAAGAGAAGAATGAGGGGGGATTTGATAGCTGCTTTCAACTACCTGAAAGGGGGTTCCAAAGAGGATGGATCTAGACTGTTCTCAGTGGTAGCAGATGACAGAACAAGGAGTAATGGTCTCAAGTTGCAGTGGGGGAGGTTTAGGTTGGATATTAGGAAAACCTTTTCACTAGGAGGGTGGTGAAACACTGGAATGGGTTACCTAGTGAGGTGGTGGAATCTCCTTCCTGAGAAGTTTTTAAGATCAGGCTTGACAAAGCCCTGGCTGGGATGATTTAGTTGAGGATTGGTCCTGCTTTGAGCAAGGGGTTGGACTAGATGACCTCCTGAGGTCCCTTCCAACCCTGATATTCTGTGATTCTACGATCACCCTCAAGATGCAGAATTCTGAAGAGGTCAAAATACATCAGTAAGACAGACACCACTAAAGCAACACCATTCCTCCATGAATAAGGACACTATGGAACTCCGATTACTTCAGTTGGACCTCTCAAATAACTGCTTACTAGTGTGGGACAGGACGTGGCTCCCTACTTCAAAGAAAATAAAGCCATGTTAGAATAAGATGGTCCCTGTCCTAAAGAGGGTACAGTATAAGTATATTGCAAGAGACAGATGGATACAAACAGGAAATACATTTCCTAGGTGTATGTGACCTTAAAAGATGATCCATGCTCACAAGTTCAGAGAAGAGTTACCCCCCATCCTCAAATTGTGTCTGCCAACGTGTGGTGAGAAAATGTGTCCATTACTTGTAAAAAAATCACTATTCAGTGGATGCTTTTACAAGCTGTGCTGAGATTCAGGCTGTATAGCAGAGAGCAAACATGAGCTCAGATAAGAAACCAGAACAATTAGAGACAAGAGGGTATTATATTCAAGAACAAAGTATTGCATGTGCGCTCTGGTGGCAGTCTGTACACTGTCTAGCCTATTTATTTTGGACGGATAAAAATCTCTACACATGTGTTGCCATAGTTAAGTACTGTTAGCTTTACCTGGAAAAAATCCAAAACATCCACACCAAGAATAAAAATCTCTGCTGGAGATTTAGATAGAGATGCTGGACCATCAACTGAAACAGCAGATTCCATCTACTTAAATGCACACTTGGGTAAAACCTATTAGAGCACAGAAGCTCTGTCAATATCAAGGACAGTAACATTGTGTGGCTGCCAGAATAGAACAGATTAGGAAGATGTGAATGAGCACTATATATTGGAAACTGCTAGCCAGTTTGTAGTCCTTAAGTTGAGTCAATGCCAGAAAACATCTTTTAGTCTCGGATGGACAACCTTGCTCCTGCAATACAGATTCTAAAGCTATTCTCAGTTGCCTAAGCTAGAAACAGTACTACAGGCTGAGAGATGTTTCTACAGAGGAAGAATTACCAATCTTAGCATAAAGTTTTATAAAATCAAATTTAGCCTTATTTTTAAAAAGGGTCAATTCATCGATGTCAGGGAAGGTTACACTTTCTGAAATGGATTCATGCCACAGAAGTGAATTATGCTACTTATGCAAAAGGCAAATCTGGTCTTCAAGTTACAGTCCTTCATCTTTTCATCAGCAAAGTTGAAGAAATGTGCCTCTCCTATGAATTTCTAACCAAATTTCTGAACCAAATTTAATCTGAATCTAATTTCTGAACCAAACTAGCACATATTTAAAATCTGAACATCTTTGCCTATACACTTGTATATATTTTTGTAAATTTGTACTTGTTGGGACCAGATTTGAGACAGTACAGTACACATGAACCCAATGTGGTCGGCTCTTTTACATGTCGACTCACTTATTTGGTGCCTAAATGGGAGAGGAGCGCTCCTCCCAAAATCTGGCCCTTTGTACATATTTGGCCCCATGCAATTGTTTTGCTCCTTAAGAATTTTGTAGTAAACAGACTGACTGTCAGAGTTACAGAGCTGAACCTGACCCAAATATAAATAAAGACTATTCATTTTTAGAAAGTGTTCACATGTTTTTTGTACACAAGTGAACACATTGTGAAAGTAGCAAAGAAAGAAAAATACGTATTAGTATTTTATGTATATTAGTGGGCACTAGCAACACTATAATTAAGGTTAAGACTAGCTTATTTAACAGATGAATTTTCTATGTGCTTTAAAAGCAACACATGGCCATGACTCTCCTGAAAATAACTATGCCTCATGGGGGTCAGGGTAAAGAGATCCACATTTGAGGTTGTTTGAGCAAGGGCTTCCAAGTATTTTTAACTCCTGAAAGTACTCAGCCATCAATTTGTGGTCATAGTCTATATAACTGTGCCCATTGTCCCCACATTCCATCTTTTTGTTTAACTCACTTGTTGTGCCTTACATAACATTAGACCCTGATGCTGTAAAGACTTAAGGACTGTCAAGGTTCCTTCCCCACTCTGAACTCTAGGGTACAGATGTGGGGACCTGCATGAAACCCCTCTAAGCTTATTTTTACCAGCTTAGGTTAAAACTTCCCCAAGGTACAAACTATTTTACCTTTTGTCCTTGGACTTTATTGCTGCCACCACCAAGCGTCTAATATATATACACCAGGGGAAGAGCCCGCTTGGAAACGTCTTTCCCCCACAAAATCCTCCCCAAATCCTACACCCCCTTTCCTGGGGAAGGCTTGATAAAAATCCTCACCAACTGCATAGGTGAGCACAGACCCAAACCCTTGGATCTTAAGAACAATGAAGAAGCAATCAGGTTCTTAAAAGAAGAATTTTAATTGAAGAAAAAGTAAAAATCACCTCTGTAAAATCAGGATGGTAAATAACTTACAGGGTAATCAGATTCAAAACAGAGAATCCCTCTAGGCTAAACCTTAAGTTACAAAAGACACAAAAACAGAAATATACCATTCCATTCAGCACAGCTTATTTTATCAGTTACAGAGGAGCATTTCCCTGTATTGCAGGTGGCATTTAGAGAGCAGAACACACTTTTACAACCAGAAATTGAACTCCCCTTTAATTTACTACTCAACAGGCAGGGTTGTAGGTGACCGTACTGAATGAGAAGACAAACTGGCACAAATGTAAAGATTACCAGACTTAGAAACTTGCTGAACTAACCAAACTGATACACAATTCAAATCAACATGATGTCAGGCCTGTTCTCCCTGGAGTCAATAGAAATTTTGCTATTAATTTTATGGGATCAGGCCCATTTAGAAGATTCTTCCTTTAAGCATGAATTACAATTTTTGATTTAAGAAAGATCAGAGAAAGCAGCAACACCTATTGTATTTCCTTTTTTTCTTTTTTTTAAATGAGGTTTAATAAAAGAAAGTCAAGGACTACAATTCTGCACTGATAGGGGAAGATGATCTAGATGGCCTAATAAGTCTTCTCCATCTCTAACTTTAGGATTCTACATCTAGTGTTTGGTTTCAGAGGGGTAGCCATATTAGTCTGTATCAGCAAAAACAATGTGCCCCCAAAAACAAAGTGCCCCCACCCCATTTTTGCAGTCTTTCCAGCACCCTTGGTGGAAGGAGGTGTCTCTGATAGCTGGCCTGGGACGCGGATTGGGGCCCAGCTTGCTCTGTGCTCAGTTCTGGCCCAGGCTCCTGCCACCTCGTCCTATCTGCCCATCAGGGACTTGTGAGGCAGGCTGGGGTTCCTGATTACCCTGGAGGAGGCAATGCCTCCTCCAATAACCCCTATAGGCCTGAAAAAGACAGTGCAGCACCATCTGGCAAAGAACTCTGAAAAGGCAGGGGGGGCAAATCAAGGTCTGGAGGCAATTGCCACCCATAACAAATGGTGTCCCATGCAGAATGACTTCACAAAACAAAAGAAGCAGTCAGTCGGCAAGTTCTTTCTCAGGGGGCTACTATTTATAAGAGTGAAGAAACAGTAGGCAGTTATAGGCTAATCTGATCCAAAGGCAAGTTTCTTCCTAATACTTTGGGGATTGTCCTATAGCCTAAAGACATATTTCCCTTGTTCTCATGTTACCTAGAGACATTTTGTGAGATATTTCCTTCCCTGTCTCCCAGGAGATATTCTTATAGACCTTTCCATAGCCTCTATGTAAGGCTATGGGACAAGGACAAGGAGCAGGACAAGTTGAATCTCAGCTTTTCTTCACAGCACTCCCCGTACCTTATCACAGTTGAGCAGAAAAAGGATGACAGGTCTTAGAAGTCTAACCATTAGACTTTGTTGCTATTCAGAGCCATGTGGTCCATAACAGCCCATTTCAAAAAGCTAAAGAAAAACAGTGAGACTAATCATTTTACACTTTTAGATAGAAAAATCTGTGTGTATACAGCACCATCTCCTGGAATTGTAGAGCACTATTTCATGCTAAATACCAGTCAAATTCGTATAGAATTAAATATCACACCCAAATACCATCAAGACTGTGTTCCAAATGAAGTGATAATGAATTGTCACCTATTCTGAAGGGTTGCCAACAAAATTTCAGTGCTGGAATGTCAAGATTTATAATCCTTGTTAGAGCAGACACTCAAAACCCACTACGCTCCATTAATTATCTTAATAAAAAAAAACCTGTCACCTCGTAATATTTTTAAATATCTATGCGGCTACAGATGTCATTGGAAAGAAATTGTTCAAGCACATTGTGCAGAAAGGTTAAAGGGTGACAATTTAATGCAATTACTCCCTTTCAATATTGCTGCAAAAAACAAACAAAAAAACCACCACAACTTCTCATGATGAGCCACTAGGCAGTAACCTTATTGACCTCATCATCAATATGTATTCAGCATTCAATTACCAAAAAACAGTTTCTTGTGTAAGTGAGAAAAGCACATTCAAATTAAACAATCATTGCTGTATTATTGACAGAGGGTGAAATACACCCTAATTCAGGTAGCCAGCACAAGGCCCTTTGTGCCATTTATGGATTACATACCATGAACACTGCTCCACAGGTACAGAACATAAGAACAGCCGTACTGGGTCAGACCCGTGGTCCATCTAGCCAATGTATCCTGTCTTCTGACAGTGGCCAATGCCAGGTGCTTCAGAGGGAATGAACAGAACAGGCAATTAGCCAGTGATCCATCCCATGTCACCCACTCCCAGTTCCTGACAAACAGAGGCTAGGGACACTTCAGAGCATGGTTTTTCATCTCTGCCAATCCTGGCTAATAGCCATTGATGGACCTATCCTCCATGAACTTACCTAGAGGTTTTCTTTTTTTTAAAAAAAAAACCTATTGGTCTTGGCTTTCACAACATCTTCTGGCAAAGAGTTCCAAAGGTTGACCATGTGGTATGAAGAAATACTTCCGTATGTTGGTTTAAAACCTACTGCCTTCTACTTTCATTAGTTGACCCCTCGTGCATGATATGAGTAGTAAGGAACATTTCCTTATTTATTTTTACCCCACACCAATCATGATTTTATAGACCTCTATCATATACCACCCCCCAGTTGGCTTTTTCAAGCTGAAAAAGCCCGAGTTTTATTAATCTCCCCTCATATGGGAGCTGTTCCATATACCTAATCATTTTTGTTGCTCTTTTCTGTACCTTTTCCAACATATCTCTTTTGAGATGGAGCAACCACATCTGCATGCAATATTCAAGAGGTGAACATGCCATGGATTTATATAGATGCAATAGGATATTTTCTGTTTTATCTGTCCCTTTCCTAATGATTCGCAACATTGTTAGCTTTTGACTATCACTGAACATTCAGCAGACGTTTTCATAGAACTATCCACAATGACTCTAAGATCCCTTTCTTGAGTGGTAACAGCTAAATTTAGACCCCATCCTTTTATATGTATAGTTGGGATTATGTTTTCCCATGTGCATTACTTTGCTTTTATCAAATTTGAATTTCATCTGCCATTTTGTGGCCCAGTCACCCAGTTTGGCTGTGAGATCTCTTTGTAACTCTTCACAGTCTGCTTGGGACTTCACTATCTTAAGTAGTTTTTTATGATTTGCTAATTTTGCCACCTCACTGTTTACCTCTTTTTCCAGATCATTTATGAATACGTTGAACAGTACTGCGTCCCAGTATAGATTCCCCGGGGGGACACCATTACTTACCTCTCTTCATTCTGAGAATGGACCATTTATTCCTACCCTTTGTTTCCTACCTTTTAACCACTTACTGATCCATAAGTGGACCTTCCCTCTTAGCCCATGACAGCTTACTTTGCTTAAGAGCCTTTGGTAAGGAAACCCCGCAAATGCTACTGAAATTGTCCTTGGACTGGTCCCACATAGATAGTATCAGGCACTTTGGAGGACCTGTGGAATAGCCACATACTCACAGGAATCTTGTTGACCCACTACCACACCCCATACAACTGGCATGGAAGAGCAGCTGCTACTACTGCAGTCTATAAGCTGGAGTAGCAACCATATGTGGTCTATGCAGTCCCATACCCTGGCTCTGGGTTGGAAGATGAATTTTGACTCCTCACATTCCACTTATGGAGCACCCGTATACTCAGTCTTTATGTTGATTAAGTGAATTTCACCCAGAGAGGTAGGTTAATGAAATTGTCAGGAATGGCTACTGAATGCTCAGAGCTCCCACTGACATCAGTTGGAGTTGTGAACGTTCTTGACATCTTAAAACCAAATCCCAAGATGTTTCAAGTTGGGAACCCAAATATTAAGGCACCCCAAAAAATCAGTAGTCACATTTAAAAGTTTTTGTTTAAGTACCTCCCCACAGGGTGAGCACCTGTCCCAAATGGGGACAGACAGTCCCAAAACGCAGAGTTCAAGTCCTGGTCCGAATGACTCCAGGACAGCATTTGTCCCAGATTCCCTGCAGTGCTGCTCCCAGGCTGTCCGAAGCAGTGCCAGCATCTTTGGAGGTGGGGGAACAGAGATGAGCCTAAGGGCTCCTCAAAGATGAGCGCCCCCCAATAGGGTTACAACTTTTGAAATGCAAAAAAGGCACCCCATACACACAAGGCAAGCCTGCCGCAACCACAACCACAAGGCAACTCAACAGCCATTTATCTATCCGTGTTTTCGCTAGATAGTAGAAGACTGACCACACTGACTGTCTCCTCACTCTTGTGCAGCTCAAAACCTCTAACACACGTGGTGCACTTGCGTGTTGGTGGGCAGACAACTACTGTATTTTCAACAATTTTGATCTATTATTGCTTAAACTGCAGAAGGGGAAACACTGCAGCATCTTTAGCTGGACACAGAACTTTTAACATTAGATATCCAAGTGTATTGTGATAATAATGCAACTCTTTAGACCCACATAAAAACCTGGCAGATTATTTTTCTGGGAACTGGCTAATCCATAAGAAACCAGCCAAATACTGGCCGGTTGGTAAACCCTAAGGCCTGCTCTTGCTCCTCCTCTTCCCCCACACTCAGGTCCCATCCCCTGGCCAGGCCAGATGTTGGACCAAGGCTTTGGTAACAGCTGATGTGGGGAACCCCGGCCCCTCTACCTGCCCTGTGCAATGTGTCCCAGGGAGGTGGGGACATGGGCCTGGAGCTGCTCTTGGGCACCTTTCCCAGATCAGGTGGAAGGTCCAGGGCTCCCCACAGCAGTCCGGGCTCCCTGGGTATCTCTTAACACAGCCCATTTCGAGCTTTCAGGGTTCGAGGCCTCAGGAGGGAAGAGGAGGAGCAGGGAGTGGGTTGGGATTCCTGCATGTGTTCCACTTTGTCTTTTGAAAAGGTGGTCACCCTATTCTCCAGTAAAAACCACAACCCAGTATCTGACCTCAGCATCTCTTTGATTGCTATCCAGTGAGAGCCAGATGGCCTGGTTTCAAGAGTATCATATCCTCTCCTTCACCATTAGCTGGCATTCTTCCTCCAGCCCAGACACCAGGGTTGCCAACTTTCTACTCCCACAAAACCAAAAACCCTAACCCCACCCCTTCTGAGGCCCCACCCCCTCTTACTGCATTCCCCCTCCCTCTCTGAGGACTTACCTACCTCACAAGATTTCTGTGAAGTTTAATTCAAGTCTAGGGTTGGGGAGGATCCTTTCCTATTATGTCTTCCTCCTCCCCTACAGTCCCCGCATTTGAAGCGGTTCAAGGACTGCTCTTTTCTAATAGCACTGCGGGTACCAGTTATTCAAAGAGTATGGCATCATGGTCTCCTTCCCCTTCTATCAGAGAAAGGAGAAATGCAGCACCCTAAATGAGATGGTGGCTACAGGAAAAGATGGATAGGAATGCGGCAGAACCATAACCTTCTCAGCCCCTCTCCATTAGGGAAAGGGAGCATGTTGTACACATTATCTGCATGATGGGAACCTCCAGGTGAGATTGTGCTAATGCAGCTCCCAAGAGATGGTTTGGCATGAGGGCAGTACTACAAGATCAAACAAGATCAAACTAGCTAGGGATGTAAAAGGAAACAAGAAAATATTCTACAAATGCATTAGAAGCAAGAGGAAGACCAAGGACAGAGTAGGCCCATTACTCAATGGTGGGGGGGGGGGGCACAATAACAGAAAATGGGAAATGGCAGAGATGCTTAATGACCTTTGTTTTGGTTTTCACCAAGCAGGTTGGTGAAAATTGGATGTCTAACATCGTTAATGCCAGTGAAAATCAGGTAGGATAAGAGTCTAAAATAGGGAAAGAGCAATCAAAAATTACTTATACAAGTTAGATGTCTTCAAATCAACAGGGTTGGATGAAATGCATCCTAGAATACTCAAGGAGCTGACTGAGGAGATCAGAGCCATTAGCAATTATCTTTGAAAAGTCATGGAAGATGGGAGACATTCCAGTCTTCTGGAATAGGGCAAATATAGTGCCCATCTATAAAAAGGGAAATAAGGACAACCCAGGGAATTACAGACTAGTCAGCTTAACTTCTGTACGCGGAAAGATAATGGAGCAAATAATTAAGCAAACAATTTACCAACATCTAGAAGATAATAAGGTGATAAATAACAGTTAACATGGATTTGTCAAGAACAAATCTTGTCAAACCAACCTGATACCTTTCTTTGACAGGGTAACAAGCCTTGTGGGTGGGGGGAAGCAGTAGATGTGGTATATCTTGACTTTAGTAAGACTTTTGATACTGTTTTGCATGACCTTCTCATAAACAAACTAGGCAAATACAACCTAGATAGAGCTACTATAAGGTGGGTGCATAACTGGTTGGAAAACCGTTCCCAAAGAGTTCACAGTGGTTCACAGTCATGCTGGAAGGGCATAATGGGTGGGTCCTCCAGGAACTGGTTTTGGGTCCGGTTCTGTTCAATATCTTCATCAATTATTTAGATAATGGCAGACAGTACACTTATAAAGTTTGCAGATGATACCAAATTGGAAGGGGTTGCAAATGCTTTGGAGGATAGGATTAAAATTCAAAATGACCTGGACAAACTAGAGAAATGGTCTGAACTAAATAGAATGAAATGTCAGTAAGGACAAATGCCAAGTATTCCAAATATTAGGAAGGAACAATCAGTTGTACACATACAAAATGGGAAGTGACAGTCTAGGAAGTAGTATTGCAAAAAGGGATCTGGGGGGGTCATAGTGGATCACAAGCTAAATATGAGTCAGTGTAACACTGTTGCCCCCCACCCCTCCAAGAAAAAGCAGTAAACATCATTCTGAGATGTATTAGGAGTATTTTAAGCAAGACACGAGAAGTAATTCTTCCGCTCTACTCCACGCTGATTAGGCCTCAACTGGAGTATTGTGTCCAGTTCTGGGCACCACATTTCAGGAAAGATGTGGACAAACTGGAGAAAGTCCAGAGAAGAGCAACAAAAATGATTCGAGGTCTAGAAAACACGACCTATAAGGGTAGATTGAAAAAAATTTGGTTGATTTAGTCTGGAGAAGAGAAGACTGAGAGGGGACATGATAACAGTCTTCAGGTACATAAAAAAAGGTTGTTACAAGGAGGAGGGAGAAAAATTGTTCCCTATAATGTTGGTTGGTGGTTGTCTTTATCTAGTTTAAATGTTTCCAGAGATGGTGGATCCACGACTTTCAAACTCACATAGGACAAGAAGCAATGGGCTTAAATTGCAG